CCTGGCGTACTGATGAACATTCCACTGATTAGGAAGGAGGGCAGGGGTCTGCCTCATGCTTTACTGTGCTGTTTGTGTGTGTCTTTCCCTTCTTTTCTTCTTTCTCCTCCCCCTTTATTCCTTTTGTGTGTGTGTGTGTGTGTGTGGATGCGCGCACGTGCGCGCGCAATGCTTTTTCTGGCTAATTCAGTGCCTAGGTTTGGGGTGAACTTTCAAAGCCCTCTTAAACTAAGCTGCGGGAAGGTCATTGTCACAAAAGGTAAGATGAACAGATTACCAGAGCTAGTTAAAAACATCATATTGAGGAGGACAAAATGTGCACCTAGAGGCAAGTCTGGTCTGGACTAAGGTCCTTCTTTAGAGCTCCCCAGTCCTTCTGAGGCTGCAGCTTTCTATGGAAGTAAGTTCTACATAATGTGTCCTATAGAAATCCTCACAAGTATGTAGAGACGTAAACGGGGGTACATATTTTACAATTGTTTGTAATGTGAGAACCAAAAAATAACTATCTGCCTACCAGTAGAAGAATACTTGAATTAGTTATGGTGCTTTCATGCAATGGAACACTATGTAATTGTGAGAAACAGTAAGGTAGATCTTGAGGTAGTGAATGGAGAGGTGTCTATAATATACCGTTCAGTGAAAAACCCATGCTGATTTATATGTAAATATGTATACATCCACAGAAAGGTCTAGAAGAATATACTCTAGAAGAATATTTATATTTAAATATGTATACACATCCACAGAAAGGTCTAGAAGAATATACTCCAAATTGTTGAAAAAAGGTCATTGGAATGGGATTAGAATGAAGGGGGAGTAGATATTTTGCTTTTTTAGTTTATATTCATTTGTAAGATTTACTTTTTTTGCAATAAATAATGAGTTTTATCATTTTAAAATGAATAATTATGAGCAGTTAAGGAGTAAATGGTGTATTAACATCATTGGTTTCTGTCTATAAGAATTTTGTGTTTCTATCTGGGTGTTCTTTTAAGTTAGGAAAACTTAAAAGAGGGGTCATTAGGTTGTTTGTCTCATTGTTAGGCTGATGTTCTTATTGACTTTTATTGTGTC